AACTCTGCCAACCACCGGATGAAGGCATCTATCATCCCAAACTGTGGCAGCGAGTCTGCGGCATCCTTCGCAGCCAACGCCTCCTTGAAAGTAACGTAAACAAAACAGTCAGCTTCTTTCCAGGCACAAACAAACCCTGGAAGCAAATCAACAAAGACATCTACCTGTGTGCAATGCAATGGCAAGAAACGAGGTGAGGAATGCGTGTGCAAAGCCTTGCCACAAGCCCATTGCGTACGCCTGTCATCACTGCCACCCCATATGTGCTGATGGCAGTCAGGCGGGAGAGGTTGATGCCGACAGCTCCAAGGTGTGAGAGCAGCAAGCCAAGAAGTGACGCCGCACCTGCTCGGTCTACAGTCAGCAGTGCGAAAAACTCTGTGATGACCGCGTTGTTCTTGACAAATGTAGCGTAGACAATGAGATGTTTCCCACGGCAGCGATCGGTTGACTCGTCGCAACTGAGTCCCACGTAGGGACTAGCCCGAACGTGGTCGAGTTGGGTTGTCTGCAACCAAGTTGCAGTTGCCTGTATGAATTCCCCGAAGCCATATCTGCATAGATTATGTGAAAAGCACACAATTGTAAAAATACATTCTACACAGTGGTAACCAATATGAATCAACATATAGAGCGAAACTCTATGTTAAGTTAGAATAGACCCAAAACTTACGCGGTATAGTAGCTCCCATATCCCTTCTTCGGAAATCCCTTCACTCCCTTCTTCGCGAGGTACTTCACAAGCCGAACCCAGTCTTCAATTGGCTCGTTGCTCTTGCAGTTGAAGAGGAGAGCGTCGAGGAGTGCGATGGATCGATCCTTCTCGATGTCAGTTGCCACTGAGTGCTCGTCAATGCGAGGTTGTCGAGTGGCAGCTTGCAGCAGGTCGTTTTGCCGCAACATCGCCAACTTGTGCTTGTTGGTGCCGGCATGCCGCTTGAATGCCTGGTTCTGCACATCAGTAGCACCCTTTCCCTTACGACCACACTTCCCAGTATCTATGGCATGCTCTGAGCACATGGTACACTTGAAAGCAAGAAACCCCCCGGTAACGTTCCTGCCAATGCGTCTTGTACTTGTCAAGAGCATCAGAGTACAAGAGCTCAATGAGATCGAAGCTAGGTTCCGAGGAAGTAGTATCGGTGGTGGAGTTGGGATTGGCGGCTGATGTTGTCGCAGGACAAGCAGTGGAGAGGAACAGGAGCTTTTCTTGACGATAGCGAGATGCCCGAACTGCCACGCCTGCACTCGACTCGGGAAGATCGTCCATGCCAGGCATGCGATGTCCAGCATCTCCTCCAGTGGCTGTGGAATCATTCCCTGCAGTAGACAGTTTAAACGAATTGAGTTTTGTGGGATTCAGATCAATGTGCATAAATTACACAAGCAATGATGCGACATACCACATCCACGGTCAGCTCTTGCTCGACGAGTACCAGCAGCGCTACTCTTGGGTACAACGGAGGCAGGGGTCGGGGTTCCTGCCAAGTGCCAATAACGTTATTAGTAATGAGTTTCTTGTAAGCAATGGGTACAGCAAAATCAGAAGGCTCACCTGTAGAAAATTCAGTTCCTTCTCGATGGGCACCAGCAGCACTACTCTTGAGTACAACGGTGGCAGGGGTCGGAGTTCCTGCCAGTTGCCAACATAGTTATTAGTAAAGAGTTTTTTGTAAACACATGGATACAACAGAATTAACCACGGCTTACGAATAGAAACACCAGCAAGTCCTGCTCGACGAACACCAGCAGCCCTGCTCTTGAGCACAGCAGAGGCATGGGTCGGGATTCCTGCCACATGCCATTAGGTTTACTAATAAAGAGTTGCACCTAAAGGATTGAATAGAACAGAAGCCAAAAACATGACTCACCGGTAGCAAAGTCATATCCTGCTCGACAGGCACCAGCAGCGCTAGTCTTGGGTACAGCAGGGGCCGAAGTAGGGGTTCCTGCCAGACGAGGACAAGGTCATTAATAAAGAGTTGCTTGTGATTGACTGGATACAATAGAAGCAGAAACTAGACTCACCAGAAACAAAGTCAGGCCCTGCACGGCGAGCTTCAGTAGTGCTAGTGTAGGGTTCAGCTCGAGCTCCAGCCGAAGTAGTCTCAGGAACGACGGTGACAGGGGTGGGGATCCCTGCCAGGAGCCGACACGGTGAACAGCAGTCGTAAGTACCCAGGCATGTATACAGATGTCAACGCACAAAGCCATGTCAAGCACACTTACCAGACGCAGACTGACGTCCTGCACGGCAAACACCAGTGGCGCTGGTCTCAGCTACAGCAGTGGCCGGGGAGGCCACTGACGCACCCCGATATGTTAGCCAAGGTGCAAATCCAGCACTCCCAGGTGGGTCCTCAGGTGGAGTATCCGGCGTGTCGTCCGCACACAACTACACGGGCGCTGGTAATGGGAAGTTCGGTGGAAGCACGGGAGAAGCAGGCGCAGTGCGAGGGTTAATCACCTCGGTTGGTGTGGCGGTAGTGAAGGAGTCAACCACTGATGGCGTGGGTGAGGCAGACGCCATGTGGGATGCTGAGACGTTAATCTCGCTAGAAAGTCTATTCTGCTTGGAGGAAGGCGGCAGTGATATTAACAGGAACTCTAACGCGCTTTGGGGAGCTGCGACGAGAAACTTAGTTTGAGGGGGCTCGTCAGGAGCTGGCACGTCACCATCGAGACAGTTTCCCCCAGCGACAACCATGGCGAGAGCAGGCTGGGTGGAAAAGGCTGATGGGTGAGGTGAGAACGCGATACATCAGCCTGAGAGGCTGCATGCTAGGGTGGGGCAAACGTATCTGGGCGACGTTTTCCCAAGGGCTATTTGAGCCCTCGTCATGATCGAGAGCTTCCCAATGACTGTGCTAGGCGGGTTGCTGGGTAGGGAGGGGAGAGCGTCGTGGGGGAGGACGAATTGTGTGGCAGGTACGGGCCGCTGGTGGGCACGATGCTCGGTTCAGTGCTAGCATCGTAGAGCGATGCTAGTGCTGTTGCTGTGAGATCGTGAACTACCTCACCCATTGGCTGCAAATACACGATTTGGCTAAAAGCCAATGGGGCTGCAGGGCGGCTGCGCGAACTTTATAGTGCGACAGCATTTCGCGCCTCATCCAGGTATTGTTGTACAATTTGTTGCAAAACTGAATTACCCCCCCTTATGTTTTTTTTTGAACGTCTAGGGGTCGCCCCCTAGACTGAATTACCCCCCCTTACGCGTGTTTTGAACAGGATGGCGACCTTCGACAACGCCGAGGTTACCCAGCAGCTCTTTGCGAGCATCGCAACCCTTCGGGAGGAGATGCGAGCGGATCGCAAGGCGTGGCGAAACGAGTTCGAGCGAGTAACTCGACTCGCCGGAACGCAGCACGAGTCGATAACGGCGACGACGCAGCAGTCGCAGCATTTTCTCGAGGCTTTGAAACCGCGCCCACCTAAACCGTTCGATCCGAGCAATCGAAACTCCGACGCACGCAGATGGATCGCCGGGATGGAGATCTACATCACAGCCGTCGGATGGAGCTCGCCGGTCTGGGACGGACAACGCGTACGACTCGCGGTGACACTGATGCGAGGGCCGGCACTCGAGTGGATCGGTGGCAACAGCACCTTCATCCAGGGTGAAGCCATGTGGCAGCAGTTCCGCACCGACCTGCTGAAACGCTTCGAACCAGTTAATTTAGGTTTCCTTGCCCGGGAAAAATTCATCGACACCGACAGTTCGTGAGTGCAGCACAGTACACGCAGCAGATGGAAGAGTTTTATCACCGCATTCCCGACCTTACCGAAGGGGGAAAAGTACAGTCTTATCTCACCGGGCTGAAGACCGAAGTCAAACGACAGATAGCTGCGTCAAACTACGCGAGCTACAGTGACGTCGTTTCGGCAGCAGAGCGCTTCGACATGGTCAACGCCGGGAAACGACGGGCTCACACCACGTTCGCCGACCCGATGGAAATCGACAAGTGCGACGGGCGGCCACATCCGAAAAACACCAACTACACGTGTGATTTCTGCGGGGTGCCGGACCATCAAATCTTCGACTGCAACAAAATGAAAGCCGCACGCGCTGAGTATCGGGCACGCAACAGTGGCGGAAATCCTTCGGCCAATCGGAAGACAAAAAACGGGAGTCGCCAGTGATTGCGGATCTAATTGGCGACAAAGAAAAGATTTGAAAGCGGCCGCAGGATTCCGGGAAAATCAACTTCGACGAAACTGATTCGACGCGAGCAGGAGGAAATGATGGGGGAAAATCTCCACCCCACGACCAGTCTTTGCCAGGGAAAATCGCCGAGAAAAAATCCGACTCCACGAAAAAAGACTCTGCCCAGACGGGGAAACTCCTTGAAGCCCCAAGAAATTATAAGCATTCGTCAAAGTTATCCTATAAAGATGCTTTAATGAAAACTTATGATTCTCGAGGGGCTAGAGCCTTGGAGAAAATTCGGGAGGGACTCAAGAAGAAGCAGAAAGCTGAGGAGATTATACCGGTACCAGACAACTTGGGGAAAAATTAAGGAGTGAGGAAAGAAGCTGACCTTTCCACGGAGTCAACGTCCTCTCCCGACACCAGCCCACAACGACTACCCGTTCCCAAGGGAAGACGTCAGTGGAGCTGAAGCAGCTCAAGAGGAGGCTGGGGGTCTACAAGAAGCTACAAAAACCCCGAACTCCTCATCCGGATGCATCCAGTTCAGCAACTTCGGCATCAATGATATGCATAGTCGTCAAAGAAACTCCGGGCCCTGGAGAAGAGCCGTTCTCCAAGCAGCCTTGGCCAGTTGCCAGCTCTGGAGTAGATAGCAACAAAACGGTGTGTACGGAATATTGGGATGTACCCTATGACCCTATTAATGAAACTATCTTTGGGTACTCCGAGCGACGCCCGCCCCTCGTGCTCGAGGTCATCTGCAAAGGACGATGCCTCCAAGCACTCGTGGACAGCGGAGCATCACACACCGTCTGCGACAAGGCAACCATCGACCGACTTCGAGAAGAGTACAAGCCTTTAGGTTTCTCTGCAATGATGGTGGACGGAAGCAAGTTACCAGGAGCCCAAGTGCTCTTCACCCCGAAACCGGACGGAAGCCTGCACATGTGCATCGATTACCGGTCTCTCAACAAGCAGACCATCACGAATAAATACCGATACCACGCATCGATGACCTGCTTGACCAAGCTTCGAGGAGCTACGGTATTTTCCTAACTGGATCTGCGGTCCGGATACTGGCAGATATGAATGGCGGACAACTCCATCCATAAAATGGCCTTCCGAACTCGCTACCGATCGTACGAGTATTTGGTAATGCCGTTCGGACTCACCAACGCACCGGCAACGTTCCAAGTCGAAATGAACCATATTCTACAGGCACTTTTGGACGAAAGCGTGGTGGTATACCTGGGCGACATCCTCATCTACTCGCGCGACTTGAAACAGCACGTCGAACACATACGACGCGTCTTCGAGATTCTTCGACAAGAACGATTCTACATCAAACTGTCAGAGAGCGAATTCGCCCTCAAGAAAGTCCAATTCCTAGGACACATGGTGAGCGCTCAAAGATTTCACGTCGACCCTTAGAAAATCGAAGCCGTATGCACGTAGAAGACACCCGAGAACGTGAAGGAGTTGCAGCAGTTCCTAGGCTTCGCTAATTATTACAACAGGTTCGTGCCACAATACGCAAAACTCGCAGCACCACTCACGAATCTGCTAAAAAAGAACACGGCCTATAAATGGGAGACGAAGCGTCAGGAAGCCGTGGAGCAGCTGAAACAAGCACTCACGTCTACACCAGTACTCATCTTGCCAGATCCCGAACGCGACTACGTCATCCAAGCTGACGCCAGCGACCAAGCAGTGGGAGCAGTCTTGATGCAAGACCAGGGGAATGGGCTGCAACCAATCGCCTACCTCAGTAAAAAACTGCACGGGGCTGAACTGAACTACCCGATACATGACGAAGAGGCCCTTGCTATCGTCATCGCCTTCAAAGCGTGGAGATGTTATTTCGAAGGACGAAGAACAACTCTCTACACTGACCACTGCAGCCGGGAATATTTGAAGACACAACCAAACCTTTCCAGGCGGCAGGTCCAGTGGATTGACTTCCTCGAGACAGACTTCCACTACGACATCGTGTACAAGCCCGGCCACAAAGCACACGCTCTTAGTCGGCCTGCACATGTCACCGCTCTCCAAGTTGAGAGGATGAATCCACTACTCAAGGGACTCTTCACACACGGGTACGCCATCGACCCCGAAATTCCCTTGGCAGAGAAGCGGCACCTACTACAGTGGGATAGTGATATCGCGTACCGGAAAGGATCAACGAAAATCTGGGTACCGAATTACCCTCCTTTGCGCCAGTTACTACTCGAAGAATAACATGATGTCCTATACGCAGGACACTTTGGTAGCAACAAGACACTGATCGGTATTGCAAAGCACTACTACTGGCCCAACTTGGCAGAAGATGTTCAGATATTCGTCACCTCATGTGATGCATGTCAACGGATGAAGAGAAGCAAGCAGAAGAAAGCGGGACTACTGCAGCCTCTTCCTGTCCCAGAACAATCATGGCAAGTGGTTAGCATGGATTTCATCACCGGGTTACCACCTACCACCAGAAGTCATGACGCCATCCTTGTCGTCATTGACAAATTCTCCAAAATGGGACACTTCATCCCGACACACACGACATCACACACCAAAGCAACAGTACAACTCTTCGTTCACTACATCATCTCACAACGTGGCATTTCAACCACACTCATCTCCGACCGAAACCCCAAGTTCACCAGCAAGTTCAGGAAGGAACTAATTTCTCTGCTCGGGACCAAACTCGCCATGTCATCTGCCTACCATCCGCAGATAGATGGACAGACTGAGCACCTCAACCAGATTGTCGAGCAACTCCTCCGAGCAGCCTGCAAGGACGAGATCTCCAAATGGGACTTACACCGACCCGTTCTCAAGTTTGCGTACAACAACGCTACTCATGCCGCTACTAGACAAACACCGTTCTTCCTCTGCTACAGACGCCACCCACTCACACTAAAGAAACCGACAACATTAGCTACAGTACAACATGCACACGATTTCATCACAACCATGCATCAGCTTTGGGATCAGACCCACAAGCGCCTCCGACCGATCCCCATCGCAACGATCACACCATTACCGTGGGAAACCAGGTGCTCCTCGACTCCCGCAACCTTGACATCAGCCATCTCCCATCTAAACTTTGACCTCGCTTCTGCGGGCCTTACCTTGTTGAATCACAGGTCACTCCTGTTACCTTCCGCTTACGCCTGCCAGCTACCTGGAAGATTCACAACGCCTTCCATGTCCAACTTCTGAAGCCCCATCGGGATCTGAACACGATCTTCGTCGGACGCCAACCACCGCCGCCGCCACCCGTCCTCGTCCAGAATGAACCCGAGTACGAGGTCGAGTCCGTGCTTGCACACCGCCGTCGTTGGAATGGCACCGTGAAGCTTCTCATTCGTTGAAAGGGTTATGATCCTTCTGAGGACAGCTGGGTTCTTGAGACCGACATGGGTAACGCCCGTCGTCCTCTTCATGACTACCTTCTCAAGCAGGGTGTTACTTCTACCACCCAGCTTTGAGGGGGGGAAGTGTGAGAGTACGATCCCGTTACACCACTTGTCCCTTTCCCTATTTCCTTTCTATTTCATCTCTCTTTTTATCCCATCTTCTTTGGTTTCCTATTCTCCATTTTCCATTATCCTTTGGTTTATTCTGTTATTATAATTATATCACCGACCAGGCTCGGAATGTACTGACGCGCTATATCCAGCGTAATCCTGCCATAATCCCTTAAAGCCAATAGCCTCGCGTGGCTATACGCAGGGTGATTCTATTTTCTAGAAGGGTCTATTCCCATGGATATGCTAAACCTGGTTACCTGATGTATTATGGAAGTATAAAAGCGCCTTGTATCAATCGATAGTGGAATCTTTCTTCGACACATTTGATCCTGTCAAAGCAAGGACCCGAGGAACAAGAGGACGAGCAGCACGAAGGAAGTCAGACAGAGGGGGAGGCGCGACAGCGAGCGACGACGGAGGAGGCGAAGGCAAGAGGGGAGGACGAGACGCGTGGAACGAAGCAACATAGGGTGAGAACGCTGAACAGGAGAGACAGGACGCGCACGAGAGGGATGGCGAGACCAGACGTGAGACGGAGGCGTCGGGTCAGGAGATAGAGGAGGAGTAACAGGAGGGGAACAAGAGGGGAAACGAGCAGGGGACGAGTCCGGCAGACGAAACACAAGACCGTGAACAGGAAGAAGGGGAGACGATGAGGGAGGCGCAGGCGAGCGGTCAGGGGAGGGAAGGCCGAGCAAGCGAAGGGCGGACACTAGTGGCAACTGCTGCTGCTGCTGGTCAACGCCGACGCCTAGACCACCAGCTGCACCACTGCTACCTCCGGTACACTCCACGCCAGTACCCCTAGAATAAGAAACGTCTCCAGCGCCAATGCCACCCCCGAGCCCGCCGAAACAAGCCACGACAGGAGCCCCAGGACTAGCACCCTCTCCAACTCTAGCACCCCTAGAGTCCACGAATGGCTGCGGCTGCGATGACGACTGCGGCTGCGGCGGCGGTGACGGCAGCGGCTAAGGCGGCGACTACGACGAGGGAGGAGGAGACACCGAGGGAGGGACAGGCGGCGCAAACTGCGCCGCGGGGCCATCGGATTCAACCAACTCCTCGACCGACACAATCGACGGTGGGGGGAGTGACGTGAGACACACCGAACGGAGCAGGACGGGGAGGGAGGGGAGCAGGGGCGACCGGGGGAGTGGGAACCAGAAACATGGGGGGGGAAACCGGGAGACCTCGGTGAGGAAAGCGGTGGAAAAAAGGAGACAGACTCGTCAAAAGTGATTTCACGGGAGTGAAAGAAGCGGTGAGACAACGGGTGGTAGAAGTGCCAGCCAGACGAGTCAAGGGGAAAACCGAGGAAGACACAGGGGACGGTGCGGGCAGTGAGCTTGTCCATGCCGGAGGCACGAATGTGAGCAAGGCAGCCCCAGACGTGGAACGCAAACACGTCACTAGGGAACCCGGTCCAAAGAAGGTTCGGTGAAACCTGCGGCCGCTGAGAGCGAGGCCAGAGGTTAAGCTAGTGAGCGGCGTAGCGAACAGCGAACGGGCACAGAAAATGGGGTGCATTGGCATGGATCATGGAGGTACGAGCCACCTCCATGACCAAACCGATGCGTCGCTCAGCAACTCCATTCTGCTGCAGGGAGTCCGGTAGGGTGTACGTCTTGGTGATACCCTCCGCACGACAGAATTGACCCAGCCGACCAGAGGCGAACTCGCCGCCAGAGTCGGAGTGGAGACACAGCACAGGGAGACCGCGGTGGAGGTGCACAGCGATGAGCCATGGGATAAGAACGTCAGGCACGTCAGCCTTCTGCTCCAAGGGAAACACCGTGGTGTAGCGCGTCAAGTCATCAACGAGCACCAGAAAGTAGCGCTCGCGACGCGGTCCAAGGACAGGGGCTGGGCCCCAGATGTCCAAGTGCAGGGTCTGAAGGGGTGCAATGGCAGGGCAAAGTAAGGAGGAGTGAGGAGCACGGCGTGGCTGGCCCTCGACGCAGGGCATGCGCGGCGGTGCAGGCGAGGGAGGGAGAGCAGGGAGCGACGCAGGGAGGCCGAGGACTAGACCGTGCTGAGACATGTGACGCTGGCGGGGGAGCGCGGGCTGACCTAGGCGGTGGTGCCACAACAGTGACGGGTGAGTGAGCGACCGACACAAGCAGGCCGCAGCTACCTGGGTGGACGCAGGACCTGAGGAGGACTCACCCACCGGGGGGGGAGCAGTGTCCAGCGTTAACAGGCCAGACACAGGGTCCCGGGGGAACGTCGCAAGGGGGGTATCTGAGGCGGCCTCGGAACAGGCCGTGTACCGCTCGTGACTAGGGAATATAGTGGTGACGCCGGGGTCTTGAAGATTGCTGACACCAACTAAGTTCCTGAAGAACAAAGGGATGTGCAGGCCTATAAGGGAACCCGAGGGAACCGCCGGACAGGGAAGGGTAGTGTAGCTGCGAGCAACTACAGGACCAGAGGAGGGGTCCGCAAGGGCGACAGCGGCAGGCGCAGCAAGCGGCGTGAGGGCAGCGTGGTCGCGGTTGAAACAGGCTGACGCACCGGAGTCTAGAGTGAAAGACAGCGACGCCGTAGTGGCCGAGGACGGGGGAGCAAGGGTAGAGCCTAGGCTAGACAAAGCAAGTTGTCCTACGCCTGACGCAGCAGGGGAGTCTGAACTACACACAAGTGGTACGCCTAAGCTAGAGAACACAGAGTAATACGATACGGAAACACTCGAAGCGCCAGCATACAGAGAATGCAAGGCATAACTAATCTGATCCATGTTTAAGTCAAACACAGGCACACCGTGGCGCAGTAGGCTGGGCCATTCAGAGAGGTCCAGGGCAGGACCAAAGCGGCAACAGAAGAGGTCATCGGGGCGGCGGAAGCAGCGGGCGGTGGGGTACGAGCAGCGGCACACCGTGCCACGCAGGGGCCTGGTCTGAAGCTGGTACTGGCAGCTCACAGCATCGAAGCTGCCGGTGGACGTCGAGCTGCGAGGGCCACCACCACGACCACCACCACCAGGGGCTCCTGGCCACCCGAGCGAGAGACGAGCCCACGGCTGCTGCTGCTGCTGTGACGGTTGCTGCTGCTGCGGCGGCTGCAACTTCGGCGACTGCTGTTGCTCCTGGGCACCGGCACCAACCCCCTTGTCAGAACCACTGTCCCCGCCACCACCACCTTTAGTGCCACCTCCACGTCCTCCCTTGGGGCCACGACGACCCCGGCGCTGGCTCTGCTGCAGGTACGCCGCAGCTGCTGTCTCAGGTGCAGGCGTAGTTGTGGCAGCTGCGCGGAGACGTCAGCGTACGTGCACTGGGAGGGCGCACAGCCTTGAAGGATAGGGACTGCGCAACACCGCTCGACTGAGCGATTGTGCGCTAGCGAGTCTCTATCTTTGACAGAGTAGTGACAAAGGCGGTCAGGGTGAGGTCGGCAGGGTGCTGACTAAGGAAGTGGTCGTGGGTAGTGGCTAGGCAGTCAGGCAGGCACAAGGCGATGAGGTACTGGGTAGCGCAGAAAGGTGGCGGGAAGGCAGTAAGCTCGGCGGCAAAGCTAGCAGCGCGGTAGCTCGTTTCTAGTGCACAGAGGTGAGTAGCGAGGTCAGCTACTGTCGGAAAAGCAGAAAGATCAGGGAAGATCATGGGTAGGATCAAGCGGCCAGCAGAGGCGGAAGCAGGTGTGGAGTAATGCTCAACTTCTGCAGTGAGAAAGTCCTTGGCGTTCGCGACAGCGGTAAATCGAGAACGCTCAGACAGGGGGAGGGCATGGCTAATGGCAAGCTGGGCTACTGTGTCGCGAGAATCCCAGACAGCTCGAGCAAGCGCAGCGGCAGCAGCAAAAGGCCTCGCTCTCAGCAGTGGTAGGGTCAGCAGGGAGGGGATAAGGCCGTAGGGGGGTGGGTAAGGAAACCATCAACATGCTTAGCCAGGGTGTGCCCACCCTGGCACTGACCTGTCAGGGGCTGGCGGAGGTCGACGAGCCAGGCGGTGAATTCGATCGCGTGCCCCTTAGCGTCCAAGCAAAGAATGGCGTCCGCCATCGCACAGTGTGACAGCGGCACAGAGGCGCAGCGACTCGGCGGCTCGGGAGCTCGGCTGCGCGGCGGCTCGGGGACACTGCGGCTCTGCAGCGTGGCGGCGCGGCAGCACGGCAGTTCGGCGGCACGGCGGCTCTGCGGGTCGGCAGCGCGGGTGCTCGGCGGCTCGGGGACACGGGGGCTTGGCGGCTTTGGCGACGAGGCCAGCTAGGGCGCAATGGGCCGCCTAGGGCACAAGGGGTCGGCTAGGGCGAGCGAGGCCGGCAAGGGCGTGTGGGGCCGGCGAGGGACACGGGGGGGCTGGTAGGAGCACGAGGGGCCGTAGGGGCGCGAGGGGCCGGCTAGGGGCGCGAGGGGCCGGTAGGGGCGCGACGGGGCCAGCTAGGGGCGCGAGGGGCCGTAGTGGCGCGCGGGGCCGGCTTGGGGCGCGACGCGGCCGGTATGGGCGCGACAGGGCCGGCTGGAGCGCGACGGGGCCGGTAGGGGCGCGACGAGGCCAGCTAGTTGCGCGAGGGGCCGGTAGGGGCGCGACTTGGCCGGCTAGGGGCGTGAGGGGCCGTAGTGGCGCGCGTGGCCGGCTAGGGGCGCAAGGGGCCGGCAGGGGCGCGACGGGGCCGGCTAGGAGCTCGACGGGGCCGTAGGAGCGCGATGGGGTCGGTAGGGGCGCGACGGGGCCGACTAGGGGCGCGACGGGGCCATAGGGGCGCGACAGGGTCGTAGGGGCGCGACGGGGCCGTAGGGGCGCGACGGGGCTAGCTAGGGGCGCGATGGGGCCAGCTAGGGGCGCGAGGGGCCGTAGGGGCGACGGGGCTGTAGGGGCGCAACGGGGCTGTAGGGGCACGACGGGGCCGTAGGGGGCCGTAGGTGGCGGCACGGGGCGGAAGCGGGTGGTTGGACCTACCTACTCGTGGTACCATGTTAAAACAAGAATGAATGATTAGAACAAGAGAGAACAGGGAAGATATAGCGTTTGGGTTGTACCCACTAAGAACATACCCTATCCAGCCTATAACTTCTTCATAACAATATATGTATAAGTTGACACAAACACCCTGAAAAAGAGTGTAAAAAACATAGAAATCTTGATATCATGGGGCCTGTACGTGTCCCTTGCCCGTCACTGCCCCTCATTTAGCCTAGGGGGTGTGTCAAACATTTGTGTATATGATACTTAAGGCTAGATAAGGTGCGTACACTTGGAGAGAACTGTAATAATTTGGCAGGTGTTGCAGGAGACTAAGTGTAGAATCTGCAAACACAAACACTTGGAAAACCTCAAGTGTTGGCCTAGGATCTTTACTGGAATATTATACTAGTAAGACAGCGGAAGTCTTGTAAGAGTGAACCTGAGTATATAGTTCTGTGGAAGTCAAGTCTCAAGGTTCTCAAAGTTGAAATCTCAAGGTTAATAATAAAAAGTCACAACAAGGATTTATAGCTCTAGGAAAGTACCTATTCGCTAATGTACCTGTTCGTCACTATCGCACTATGCGCCCTAGATGATAACAAAGAGATGCGACTGTTCGCGTGACTAAACGACTGTGCTATGACGAGCGCTATTTGCTGACGTCATCCTACGGACTTATCTTTTACAGTAGGATTCGACACTATCTATCGATAAACGACTTACAGAAGTGCTAAATATGAATTATACCACAACACTCCCCTTCATTTCTGGAAGTTCGATAGTGTCACTTCTTGAAGATCCCGCAAAGCTTGTTACAGTACTGAAACTTCTGTCGTGTCAGCTTCTTCGTGAGGAAGTCGGCAGCCATGTCATTGGTCGAACAATAGACCAATCGCATTCTCCCCTTCTCGACTTCATCCT